GTAATGGGAAGTTTAGAGAGGCAGGAATTAATCCCAGATTTCATCAGCAATTAAAATTAAAAAATTAAAATGTTGCCTTCCTCTGCCCATCCTCAAGGGCTCTGCCCAGGCTGGGCATCCTCTCCAAGCATCACATTCCATGGTCCTCTCTGGTGATCCAAATAGTGGAAGGCAATTAAAAAACACTTGGATGTAGGAAACAACCCGGGGCACAAACAATGGGGGGAAATGGGATCTGCCTCGTCACCGAGGTGCCAAGGGCTGGTTTTCCCGTGCAAAGCGGTTGCTCCTGGAAGCAAAAAGGAACGTGGCTTTTCTCCTGGCTGCACCACCACTGCTCTGTGGTGCCTGGGGAACAGACACCTGCTCCACAGGGCTGCTGCACTGCCACCCTCCCAGCTATGTCCTGCTTCCAGTGTCCCCTGTGATCTGCTTGTTTTAGAGCTCTGTGTCTGCTCCGGGTGTTTGTAGTGATACCCCTCTCCTGGCTGTGCTGCTCCTTGGCCTTGGCACTGGGATTTTGGAGGGGAAATCACTCCATGCCCACTGCAAATGGAAAATGGGGGAACCACCTATCCTGGTTCGCTGGGAGCCGGAGCCCAGCCCGTGGTTTTTGCCTTCCTACAGCTTTTAAAAATAACATTATTTACTAGCAGAACTCAAAGCACTTTCCAAGCTTCTTCCCAAACTGACTATCCTTCCAGTGATTCCAAGACTCTCCAGGTTTGTTTGAGTGCTGCTGTGTGGGGTTTTGAACCACCATGCAGGAGTGGGATCCCCTGGGATTGGTTCAGGACACAAGGTGTGCAAGGGGCTGGTGGCAAAGGGATTTCTGTAACTCCTGTTCTTGGCACCTGCTTTTCTTCAGTGTCCTGGTTTGAGCCCGGGGGAGCAGGTGAAGGGTGTCCCTGCCTGGAAGCTGCCTCAGCTGCTGAGTCTCACAGGAGCTCCAGAGCAGGTAAAGCACCTTGGCCTGACAACCTTCCTGTGAGTGCAGATTTTAGGTGAATGACCTGGTAGTGTCACCTGGGTTTTACTCCCAGATTTCAAAGCACTTTATGCATCCAAAGAGGAGTGGGCAGCAGGTGAGGGGGGGAATTCTGCCCCTCTACTCTGCTCAGGTGAGACCCCACCTGCAGAGCTGCCTCCAGCTCTGAGGAACAACATAAGAAGGACGTGGAGCTGCTGGAGCGAGTCCAGAGGAGGCCCCGGAGATGCTGCCAGGGCTGGAGCCCCTCTGCTCTGGAGCCAGGCTGGGAGAGCTGGGGGGTTCACCTGGAGAAGAGAAGGATCCAGGGAGACCTGAGAGCTCCTGCCAGGGCCTAAAGGGGCTCCAGGAGAGCTGGAGAGGGACTGGGGACAAGGCATGGAGGGACAGGACACAGGGAATGGCTTCAAACTGCCAGAGGGCAGGGATAGATGGGATGCTGGGAAGGAATTCCTGGCTAAGAGGATGGGGAGGCCCTGGCGCAGGTTGTCCAGAGAAGCTGTGGCTGCCCCATCCCTGGGAGTGTCCAAGGCCAGGTTGGAGCAACCCAGGCTGGTGGGAGGTGTCCCTGCCCCTGGGAGGGGGGAACTGGATGATCTTTCAGGTCCCTTCCACCACACACCATTCTGGGATTCTATGGTTCTGTAAGGTCCCTTCCGATCCAAAACATCCTGTAATTCTCTGATTTATGGAAGAGGTAATTTTATTATCCCTATCTCATACCCTCATACAAGGCAGGGAGTGCTCTATGGCTGTGAGAAGTGGCAGACACAAACCCCAGTGTTCCTGTGTCTCAATCCAGTGCACTGTCAGCTGGGACATGTTTCTCCCACATTTCTCACCACACTAATTTCAATGCGATTCCAAGATTTTTAGCAGCTCCAGAGTCACTTACAGCTAATGTACAAGAGGAGCTTATTGAACTGTATGTCTGGAGCTGCTTTCTCAGATCTGTGCTGCCCTCAGGAGCGTGTGATGAGCCTGCAGTTGGGACTGATGATGGTGGCAAACATAAGGGACACCCACCTTATATCTCTTCTCCTGTCCAGACCAGTGATGGCTGTCCCCAGGGCCAGAAGGGGTTGCCTGGGTTGCTCTGGGATGGGAATGGGCACACTTCACATCTCCATGGGCCCTCACTGCTGCCAAACAGCTCCACATTAGTCTGCAGCAAAGACTTTTTTGGGTTGGAAGGGACCTGAAAGATCATCTCCTTCCACCCCCTGCCATGGGCAGGGACACCTTCCACCAGCCCAGGTTGCTCCAAGCCCCATCCAACCTGGCCTTGGACACTTCCAGGGATCCAGGGGCAGCCACAGCTTCTCTGCCCAACCTGTGCCAGGGCCTCCCCACCCTTACAGCTAAGAATTCCTTCCCAATATCCCATCTAACCCTGCCCTCTGGGGAAGTTTGAAGCCATTCCCCCTTGTCCTGGCACTCCAGGCCCTTGTCAATAGTCTCTCTCCATCTTTCCTGTCGGCTCCTTCAGTCACTGGGAGGCCACAATCAGGTCACCCCAAAGCTTCTCCTCTCCAGGTTGAGCAATCCCAGCTGTCCCAGCCTTTCCTCCCAGCAGAGCTGCTCCATCCTCTGCCCATCTTGGTGGCTCCTCTGGGCTCAGATGGGAAGTTGGGTCATACTGAGGGGGCCCCTCTGGGAAGTGGAGCCAGGAGGGTTCCCAACTGAGGCCTGGCCTTCTGCATCTTCCCAACCCACAGCTCTCCCCTGTCCAGCTTGGCTTTGCCAGCAGGAGCTTTGGGTTTCCAGCACCATCTCCTCCAAGGACACCTGTTGTTGACTCACCTATTGTAAATGGGACATAATTGCTGGAAGCTGCTCCGGTGAGATTTGCAGAGTCATCGGAGGGGGTTCACGTTACTCGAAGGGAGCAGTTTGTTGTGTGAACAAACATTTCCCTGAACCACCTCCTGCTTTCTCTTCCTTGTTCACCACCACGGGGTGGGGCTGGCCCCTCCTTTGGCCAAGGAATTGGCTTTAGGATGCACTGGATGGCCTGGTTTAAGGATGTATCTGGAATCTGGATGCCTGTCCTTTAGCTGCACCCCATCTTCTTGATTATATCAAAAATATATCTCACGTTTCTCAGGGCATTGTCCACCCACAGGCTGTGACACAGATAAGGAGAGCAGTGGATGGAACAACAACAGTGGGAAAATTCTGCTGGGTTTTCAACAGCTTTGAGGAGGAATTTTTCAGTGGAAATCTTTTGTCTGGAAAATGCCTGCCCATTGTAATGGAAACGGTCCATAGGAAGAGGTTTGTTTGGACAAATATTCTGCTAAATGTTTCTGGATGGAGGAAAAACAAGTTGGAAATGTTCCAATCCTTCCCACTCCAGCTATTTCAAAATAACAGCATCTGAACCTCCCTTTAGAAATAACCACAAGATCTTAGAAGTTTAATTTAGGAAATGATAAATTAATAAATTACTGAACTTGCATAAAGTAAAAGCAAGAAAGGCCTGTGTGGAAAAAGGCAGTGTCCAGCCAAAGCTAATGGTGTCTCTCCTCAAGGTGACCTCCATCTCCCCAGGTAGAGGGAGACCTCTCACTCCTCTGTCTTGTTCCAGAGCCCCTGATTGCCTTGTCCAGGTGCCTGTGTGCTGAAGCTTCCCCCAGGCACTGCACCACCTTGGGGACTTGCTGTACAATCACTAATTAAATCAAACAAGCCATTCCAGAGGTGTTGGATCAGCACAGAAAAGTGAGGCAGGACACACGATGGGGGTGGGTTGGAGGGAGGCTGGAGAGGTGACGATGCCCAGCGAGCACCAGCAGTGCCCTGACCATCGACAGAACGGGCCCTCCCCCTGATTTTGGGCAGCCTGCTTTGAGAGGACCCAGTGATGCCCTCAGGACTGAAGGATGGTGGGTGACACCCCATCCACCTGATGCTGCAGCAGCCAGGTCCACCTGGAAGGTGGCTCTCTGGGCAGTGCTCCTGGCAGGGAGCTGGATCTTGGCATGGGGCAGCCAAGCCAGAGAAGGGATCTGACACCTTCCTTCCTTCCCTGTCCCATAAAAACCCTACCAAGTGGTTTTAAGAGGAAAAGGAGCATACTAGGTGGGCATTTGGGAAAGCCACAGTATGACCAAGAGGCCTCAAAGCCCCTTGGTCTGATCCTTGAGGCTGACCCCAGGCACACATCCCCCGCCTCCCCCCCTGCTGAAGGCAGTGTTGCCCTCTAATGAAGAGAGAAATTTTCTTACTTCTTGGAATTACACAACTACAAACTGAGTTGGTTTCTGTATTCTATGGAATGAGAAGAGCTTTAAGGCCCTCTCCAGCAGAAACCATTCCATGATTCTCTGCCTTAGAAAAATCCCATTATTACCAGCACAGTGGCTGTAACCCGAGGCAGCTTCTATGGTTTAATGACAAAACCTTTGAATTGGAGACACGTTATTTCATATTCCTTTGAATGTATTCCAGCTTCCAGCTACTACAGCTGTCAGCAATGCAAGAGGTGTCTGATGATGCAGGAAAAAACAACCTGTCACCCTTTGGAGCAGGAAACCGGCTCCTTCATCCCACACCTCGACTCACATGGCAAAGAGAAGTTAGAGCAGAATTACCCCAAAGGAGCAGAGTTATTATAGCATGCTCTTGCACATGGGGTTTGTATTTATATCAGAGAGGAAAAATGGAAAATAGTCAAGGAATATTTTTGAGGAAAATAATGTCCCGCACGTTTAAATGTTCCACCTTTACTCTTATTTGACAAAAGCCACTTACTACAGATGCCTCAGCCCAAACACTCCTTTGATTAACCAGGAAACAAGTTCTTCTATTCCAACACCACCAAACCAACCCTGCAAACCTGGCATGGCTGCATTTTCCCCAACAGCCTGTCTCCTTCCACCCCGGAATTGAGTGGCTGAGCTTTCCAGTGGCAGCTCCAAAGCTCTGGCTGGTTCCCCCCGGGAAGCCCAGCTCCCCAGATCCCCCATCCAGCACCACGTCCCACTCCCTGGAGTGAGGAGCAGCTCACCTGGGAGCAGCAGGAAGAGCCAGAGGAGCTGGAGGACCGGGAGCAGCATCTCGGCGGTGGCTGCGGCTGCAGAGCCTGATCGAGGCTCTGGCCATGCCGGGAAGGAGCCCAGGGTGAGATTTTGCCTGCCTGGGCTGACTCTCACAGAGTTTCCTGTTAAAGAATAGAAGGAAATGGGCTGAATCCACAGGGGAACTGTGTTTTTCAGCCCATTATGGTCGGGGAGGATGTGAGACATCACTCAGGCGGCAGAGGAAACCTCGCCGTGCCTTCAGTGGGGGATTGGGCTGCTCTGCTGGGGGACAGTGGAGTCACAGCCCTGCTCTGGGCCTCAGGAGCTTCCTTATGGTGCTTGGGTTTTTGGGGAGATGCTTTATTTGTGGTAGGATGTGCCCCCCAGCTCCAATCCACCCCACGTCAGCTGTGAGGGCTGTAGGCAGTGTGGGGTAAGAGCTGCAGGAGGAGCTGGTGCTCCCCCCCACCTGAGAGGGGATTTCTTAGTACCTCCATGAGGGATTTGGGAATAATTGCTCCTTGTGGGGCCAGGGTAACTCAGCAGCTGGATCTATCCTGTACCTTGTGCCTCCCTGTGCAGCTCCAGCCTACCTGGCAGCGGGAGGTGCCACCTTTGGGATGCAGTTCTCCAGGCAGCAGCAGCAGCATCCCTTCCCACAGGACACACAGCACATGGCAGGCTTTGACTTACCCCTTCCCCAGCTCCTTGAGAAGGGGAGGAACTGGAACATTGGGCCAGTTCTGGTCCCCATCCAGCCTGAGGGGTTCAGACCATTTCTTGGCCCAGCCTCGGGATGTGCTGGTCTGTGCAGGTCCTGCCTGTGCCTCCCTCCCCTGCTGCCACAGTTTGAACTCCAGAGGGAATAATTTGATTTGAATGGGTGTTTGGGGGAGGAGAAGCTTTGTAGTGTCTCCTCATGGGAAAGGTTGCCTGTCTTGGAGGGTCCACATGGGTGTTCAGAATGGAAGCCACAGGATCATGTCTCATGCTCTAGGGGCTGGTCCCACCCCCTCCCACAGCCCCCAGAAAGCCACAGAGCTTCATCTGAGGGCAACAGAGCTGCTCCTTCACAGCACTGAGTGCATCAAGGGGTGACTTCTGCTGCTGGCAAGGTCCTCTCTTCCCACAGCTGGGAGACTGGAAGGAGAGATCCCCCATGCACTGGGCAGCTCCTCCTGTTTCTGGGAGTCTTTAAACCCTCCAGCCCCCCAAGAAAGACACCAGCCCCCTGGCAGTGGCCTCTACAGCAGCCTTTGCTGGGCCAAACCTCCTGCCAGCAGCTCCCCCCATTTCTCTGTCCCTTGCACAGATGTGACGCTCAGAGATTATGCTGTAGATTAAGGTTTTACTGAATCCTGAAATGAGTGCAAATTCCCAGAAGCTCTCACATGCAGTTAAATCTCTTCTGGATGCTCGGCTGGATGGTGGAAAAGGCATTTCCCACCCCATCCTCCCCACGTGCAGGAAGGACAGAGCCCAGATATTCACCCCAGCTTGTCTGTTGAGAGCCTGCAGGTAAGAGCAGCGGTGTTTTGGGAAGGGAGGATGGGGAGACGTGCTTTGTTTTGCCCCAAACTCCAGGGGATCCATGTTTTCCACTTGGAGATGTGCTCAGGGTCATTTCCAGTGGCAGAGGGTTTGACACACAGCATCCCTGGGCCAGGGGGATGGTACCCACCTGAGTGCAGGGGTGAGGTACCAGCCTGGAGGGCATCCCTGGAGGGTATTCTTGGAGGATATCCCTGAAGGGTATTCCTGAGGGGTATCCCTGGAGGGCATCCCTGAAGGGTATCCCTGGAGGGCATCCCTGAAGGGTATCCCTGGAGGGCATCCCTGGAGGGTATCCCTGGAGGGCATCCCTGGAGGGTATCCCTGGAGGGAATTCCTGAAGGGTATCCCTGGAGGGCATCCCTGGAGGGTATTCCTGGAGGGCATCCCTGGAGGGTATTCTTGGAGGGCATTCCTGGGGGGTATTCCTGGAGGGCATTCCTGGGGGGTATTCCTGGAGGACATCCCTAGAGGGTATCCTTGGAGGGCATTCCTGGAGGGCATCCCTAGAGGGTATCCCTGCCAGCCTTGTGGCACAGCTGCCGTGCAAGGGGACAGATGTGCCACCCTGCCCTGGCACTGGTCACAGAATCACAGAATTATTGAAGAAAACCTCCAGTATCATCAAGTCCAACCGTGATGGTCCAAAGGTTGCAGAGCTTCCCCAGGGACACCTCTGGCCACAGCCGTGCTGTGGGTGCTCCCCCCGCAGCAGTGGGAGAGAAAATCAACTCTGGGACTGCTCCCTCCCTCGGACGAGGGTCCTTCCAGCCCGGATCCCTGTGTGGATCTGCTGTCCCGGGCTGTGCAGAGTTCACCTACAGAGGGGGTTTTTTACCCCTGTTTCTTTCCCTCGTGACATTTTCAGGCCGAGCCGGTGGTTTCAGGGAGGTTTCCTGCCTTCGGTGCAGTTGAAGGGGGGGTGGGCGCTTGTCCCCAAACAAAGGGCCCTTGTCCTGCCTGGGTGAGAGGAGGGTCCGGGAGCGAGGAGGGGGCGGCAGCGCTGATGTGGCACCGGCTGGGGATGGAAGCAGCTCCTGCCCCGGGGTGAGCAGGCGCTTCCTCGTGTGCCCCGGGCATCCCAGGGGGTGTGGGGCCGAGCAGTGACGTGGCAGCTTCCGAGGTGAGCGTGGCTGCACCTACACCGGAGATCATCCCGGAGCTGTTCCTGCTGCTTCTGCCGCCCGCTTCCCAGCCCCGCCGCTGGAGACGATGATTGCCAGGCAGCAGGAAAGCCGAGGTACCCCTGAGGGGCTGGGAGGGTCCTCCGTCCCTCCTCTCCCCCCACCACCCCTGCTCCCACCCGTGCTGGCTCTCACGGGATTTTGCCACCGTGGCGAGGGACGACTGACAGCGTTGGGTCTCCCAGGGTGGTCCCAGTGGGACTGTTTGTCCTGGATTAGCACCGTGGGGCTGGGGGTGAAGAGGGGAGGCTGGAGGGGAGTAGTGGGGAGGAAAAGCCCCACGCCAGAGGTGTCCAGGTGACGGGGACAGAGGGCATTTCCTCCCTGGCTGAACGTGCCCAGGGAACCATCCTACAACCCCAGAGACAGCCACCAAAATTGATCCTGTCCCACGAGCCCGAGGGAGGGAGCACTTACGGGATCATGTCATTCCCTGGCAGCTGCGAGTGCAGGAGATAAGGACAGGAACAGCCTCTGCTCAGTGGTCACCCTGTTCCCCCCCGGGTTTCCCTGTGCCAGGTCAGCCCCCTGAGCCATGAACAGCTCCGTGCCTGGCAGCCAGCTGAGACCCCCCGAGCCGCAGGACGTGGTCGTCACTCCCGTGTCCATCGCCAGGACGGTGACGAGGAAGGCGGACGCGCTGCCCATGATCTCGGTCATCGTGGTCATCTTCGTGCTGCTGGCCGTGCTCATCATCCTCGTGGTGCACTTCGGCCCCCAGCTCCGCACCGTGCACATCACCCTGTACCACGAGCCGCTGCCGCAGGACCTGGACAGAGGCGTGCACCTCATGCACTGGAAGCAGCTGGACCCCCAGGGGAAGTGGGATGTGCCTGGCATGGATCTGGCTGGAGTGAGCTGCCAGTGCTCCTGCAGGCACCACCTTCCCGGCGGGAGCGCTGAGCCCAACGTCATCGAGGTCACGTACCTGTGACACGGCCCCGGCATGCCTGAGGCTGCGTCCCGCTGGAAGAGCTGTGACTGGGTGGCAGTGTATCCCGAGACCCACCGGCTCCCAGGCAGAGGCTGTACCTCCCTAGGTCTGTGTCTGGCCCCAGGAAGGCTCAGCCAGGAGATTCAGTGTCACTGCAGTGAGCCCTCACCTGCCCTCAAAGCCCAACCTGGGGGTTGGCGCTGTCCCCACGCAGGAGTTGGGTCCCAGCCCGGGCTCTGGGGCTGGGTCAGCCCTCATGGGACAGCATTAGCATCAGTTCTGGCTTTTCTCACCCTGGTGTCACCTGTCCCACACTGCCCGGGAGTGGCCAGGAGAGCTGGCTTGGTCCTTGTCCCAGCTGGGGAGCTCTGGGGCTCTGCTCAGCCTCTTGGCAGGAGCTGGAAGTTACATCATCTGGAATTGTTTCCCCGATGAAAGATGTTTCCACGTTTACAGTGTCCTCATTACACCATTTATATGGCACAGAGAAGCCTCCAGCTCCTCTTTTCCTCTGTGCCACAGCCCCTTTTCCTCTGTCAGAGGGCTGGAACACCATCCTCCCCCCTGGTAGCCCTGGCAGCTGGCTCAGCCCTTGGGACAAACAGCCAGAGGAGAGGAGAAGAGGCAGGTCCTCAAACTGTGTTGGTGGAGCCAGTGAGGTGTGGGAGAGAAGAGTGGTGACACAGCAGAGGCAAAAGAGGTGATAATGGCACATCACATCTGGCTGAACATCTGGAGGTGTTGGCACCAGAGGAGATGGACAGAGACTGCAGCACCTCTGTACAAAGGGACGGGGAGACCTGAGGTCATCTTTGCTGAGGTCATCCTCACTGTGATCATCCTCACTGTGGTCATCCTCACTGTGTTCATCCTCACTGTGGCCATCCTCACTGTGGCCATCCTCACTGTCCCCAGCCCTGGTTGCTGTCCCTGGGCCAAGGGCAGCTCTGCTCAGGGCATGGGGACTCGGGTGGTTGGAAGCAACCAGGCACATCCCAGCCAAGGAGGGAGTGATGGTGGGGTTGGCACAGTCAGCCACGGGGAGGAAGATGTTGATGTGACTCCATCACCCTGGATAGAAGCCCTTTGAGGTGGCACAGAGGGAGCAGATGGAGAGATGAAACCTCCTGAGCCCTGGAGGCTCCTGGTGGTATCAGACTGTGGTACCTGTTGAGCCCTGGGGGTCCTTCTGCTGCTGGAGGCACCGGGCATCTCTTTGGCCTCAGTTGTTCCTTACTTGGTGGAAGCTGCACAGCAAGGCCTGTCTTCAGTGCAGGGCTCAGCAGACACTCCTGGGGAGGCAGCACAGCCCCTGGGATCACAAGGATTTGTGCTGCTCAACAGTCCCAGCAGTCAAAACATGGTTCCCAACCTCTCCCCTTCCCACAAAAGCCAGGCCCGTGCCCACCCTTGGCTGCATCCCCAGCACAGATCCCTCTGTGCACAGGTGGACAAGAAATGGGGCTTCACCTGTTCCTCCAGGCACTGGGAGGATTTGTGACATGGCAGATGCTCCATCATCCCTCCTCTCACTTATTTCCAGCTCTTTTCTCACTTACTTTAAAGCTGGGTAGTGGTTGGACTTGCTGGAAACTTTCAGTCTCAACAATAAACATAATTTATACTACTTTTGGTGGGGGGGGATATTTTCTGTTTTGATTTTTTTTCCTTTTTGTTTTCCAGAGATGATGGTGCATTATCAGCTTTCCCACTCCTGAGGTACAGGAGATAAGAGCTGTCATTTCCATTGAAAATCAGAGTCCCACCCCCTTTGCATGTCAACACAGGGCTTAGTTTGTAATGTGTACATCCCTAATTAGCACCCCCTGAAGAGATAATCACCTTCCAAGGATTTCTGCTTATTAAGACATTTTCCCCTGTGAGGGTGGGCAGGCCCTGGCACAGGTTGCCCAGAGAAGCTGTGGCTGCTCCATCCCTGGAAGTGTCCAAGGCCAGGTTGGACGGGGTTTGGAGCAACCTGGGCTGGTGGAAGGTGTCCCTGCCCAGGGCAGGGGGTAGGACTGGATGGGCTTTGAGGTCCCTTCTCACTCCAACCATTCCATAACCTCTTCAAATAACATCTGTAGGTTGGGGTAACCCACACCAAGGGTCTGAAAGCTGAAGGACCCACCTACAACCCTCACAGGATCTGCACTGTGGCCCCCAGACAGGCTGCACCCAGCTCTTGGGGACGCTTGCAGGTGTCACCCAGCCAGGGTGAAGCAGGGGAGTTGTCACCCAGCTTTTGTGGCTGTGCCATTGGGGATCAGGAGCAGTTGGGATCAAGACAAAACCTTTAATGGGAGAAACGGGAGCTTTCGTGGCAGCTCCCACTGAAGGACAAGCACAGCAGGGAGCCGGTGTGTTTAGAATTAAAAGATTAAAACAGTCTAAATATTAATAAAGAGAGAGATAAAATGGGTAATTATTGCTGGCACTCATTGATTTGCAGCCGCTGGGGACTCGTAAAGGTCTGATTTATGTCGAGTTGTGCCGTGGCCCAGATCCATCACTTGGGGGAACCCACTGCTGTGCTTGTTTTTCAGGTATTTCAGGCTGTCAAACCAAAAGCAAATAAAACTGGTGGTGCTGATGGGGCTCCAGTGGGCTCCCATTTGTCCTGTGCTCTGATCCTTGCAGCCCAGCAGCTGCCGGCAGCCCCTTCTACACCAACATCTCTGCAAAGATGTACTGAAGTCCCAGCCTTCAAAATTTCTTCCATGTATTTCATTTGCAAATAGATATTTAGATATAATCTTTTGGAATACAGGAAAGAAATTACTGTAAGGCTTAGAATAGCAAATTAAATCATACAAGCAAGTGACAATATGCTGCCAGATTTCTCCTCCGGAAGGACATCAAGGGTCAGATCTCAGCTCTGCTCCTCATTGCTTTCTCCTGCACAATAAAACATCATTTTTACAGATTCTCCTTGTTTCTCTTTGTCCAGCTCTCAGCTCATAGAATTGGCTCTTTCCAGCACAGGGCTTTATAAAACACATCAGGGTCTGTGAGCAGCAAAGCTGTGCATGACATTACCATAACATTATTCCTCTCTATTCAAACACCCAGCCTGTCCCAATTTACTTCACTTAAAACTTTCTTTCCCTCCTAAATAATAATCCTTTTATGAACACAGAGCAACAATAACTCTCCTTATCATCCCCTCTGCACAGGGCAGCTCCTGGAGCACCCCAAGCAGCAGCTGCAGAGGTTTTGCTTTGCTCAAAGCCAGGTTTGTGCCTTGGGAAGCTTTTGGGAGCTGCTGCACTGCCCATTAACTCTGCCCTGATCAGGGACTGCCTGCACCCCCTTTTATTCCCCTTCTAATTAGGGTGTTGCACCTTCATAACCTGGTGGTTCCCCGGAGGGTTTAGTTGGGGGTCGCAGCGGGAGGGAGGGCGGGGTTTGGAGGTGACTCTGCTCGTGATGCCGCGGGGTTGCCTAAAATTGTGCAAAATTGAGGGCAGCACCGAAAAATTGTGCAAAACCGAGGGAGGCACCCAAAGCACCCGCAGAGGCTGGAAGGGAGGGAGCTGCAGCATCACTCGGTGCCCTCCCGGAGGGAGCCTGGCCTGCTGAGCCCCCCGGGAGCGCGGGGGTGGTCGCAGCCCCTCTGTTGGGGTGGGGGCTCCCGCTGCCCCTCGGGCTGTGCCGGGGCCGGCCGGGAGCCCAGCGCGGAGCAGCAGTGGGCTCCAGTGGCGGAGGGAGCCAACTACACCCGGCAGGAACCGCGCGGGACGGGACACATCGTCCTGGGGGGATGATGTGCCTGGTTTGGGGTTCCCTGGTGTGAAAGACGCATCGCTGGAGGGGTCTGTGAGGACATACAGAGCAGCTTTCACTGTGGTGAAGGATGAGCAGCCCACCTGGCTGAGGGAGGCTGGACCAGGTGGCATGTGGAGGTCACCTTCAGCTAGTGTCACCTTCTGATTTCACGGAGAGGATGAGCACAGGGAGAGCCAGTCCCCCCACCCCCGAGAGAAGGTCCCTCCACCTCCTGCAGATCTGGGTATTTGCTGTTTGGTGTGAGGGGGAATCATCTTCGTGTGAAGAAAGGTCCCTGGGAGCCTCCCAGACCTGAGGATGGGGAAGGTTCTGGGCCACCTTGTGCAGCTACACCTGTACCCAGCTCCTCACACACGTATTGCAGAGAGAGGGGACATTTGAAGGCACCAACAAGGATCATCAAGTCCAACCCCTGGCCCTGCACAGGACACCCAACAACCTCACCACGTGCTGAGAGTGCTGTCCAAATGCTCCTTAAGCTCTGGCAGGTTTGGGGCTGTGCCCACTGCCCTGGGGAGCTGTTCCACTTGAGGGAGAACCCCATGATCCTGGTGCAAGGGCACAGCTGGTGAGAAGCAGCCGTGCCTTTCCTTGCTCCCCCTCGATTTCCAGGTGCCCTCTCCTGCTGAGGATGCTGCTCTGATGTGGAGCTGAGCCTGGAAGAGCCCATCCCTCCTCAGGGTCCCTCCTGTGCCTGGGCCTCTGTGACACTTGGACACCTTTCTCACCCCATGGATTAGCTGTAGAGCAGAGGCTGGGCCAGGTCCTGCTCTGTGGGGAGTCCATAGGATGTCATCAGTGGTGCTCATTTTGAACTCTTCTCCTTTTGGTGTTGTTTTTTAAAGTCAAGGAACCACAGAATGGTCTGGGTTGGACCTGAAAGATCGTCCAGGTTCATGCCCTGCCATGCAACCTTCCACCAGCACAGGTTGCTCCAAGCCCCATCCAACCTGGCCTTGGACACTTCCAGGGATGGGGCAGCCACAGCTTCTCTGGGCAACCTGTGCCAGGGCCTGCCCACCCTCCCAGGGAAGAATTCTTTCCCAATATCCCATCTAACCCTGCCCTCTGGCAGTGAGAAACCATTCCCCCTTGTCCCATCCCTCCATCCCTTGTCCAAAGTCCCTCTCCAGCTCTTCTGGAGCCCCTTTAGGTCCTGCAAGGGGCTCTCAGGTCTCCCTGGAGCCTTCTGTTCTCCAGGCTGAACACTC